ATAGTAATGATAATGATGACAACAGCGACAATAACAATGATAACAATAAACGAAAATTATAACAACAATAATAATGACAATAATGATACTAAGATATGATATTAATATATTATTACTGATATTGATAAAATAACAATTATGATAATGATAATGATAAAAAATATATTAATACTACTACTTCTAATAATAATAGAATAGTAATAATAATGATATAATATAATAATCATAATATAATAATAATAATGAGAAATGATATAACACAATATTTGAATAATAATGATAATGATAATAATATATGATATTAATAATATATCAACAACAAAAACTACCACAAAGATAATAATGATAATGAATAATGTAATAATAGTAATAATAATAATAATAATATAATAATATAATATAATAATAATAATAATAATATAATGATAATGACAATGGTATTGACAATGATAACAATGATAATTATGATGATAATGATAATTGCAATCTACATTATGGTAATAATGATGATAATAAGATAATGATAATAGTAACAGCAACAGGAACAACATCAATAATATTAATAGAAAATTGATAATTAACATTAATGATGAAAACGATAATAGAATATAGAAAAATAATGAAAATAACAAAATAACTATGATAGTAATAAAAATAATGATAATAAGGATAACAGTAATAACAATAAAATTAATACTACTCTCTCACAGCTATTACTGATAATAGTGATACGATGATAATAATAATGATAATAGAAATAATGATGATGATAATAACACTAATAACTAACTATTACTACGATAAATGATAATGATAACCATAATGCTGATAAAATTAAGGATAATAAGGACTGATGATATTGATAACACTGATAATGATATTTGATGGTAATAATGATAATGGTGATGTCAACAGTAATAATGGTAAAATAGTAATGAAACAATGTTAATTATTATCATATATGATAATGATGAATTTATTATTATTATTAAATAATAATAATAATAAATGATATTAATAATAATAAATAATATAAATGATAATGAATAATGATATAATGATAATGATAATAAATGATAATGATATATAATGATATAATAATAATAATAATAATAATAATTATATAATTATTATTATTATATTATTATTATTATAATAATGAGAATGATAACAAAAAATGATAGAAATACTTACAATATTAATCATAAAAAAAATAACAGTGGTATTGATAAATGATAAGAATTATGATTATAAAAAAAATGAAGACATATTTATGATAATGATGATAAAGTCATAGAGATAGTAACAATACAAGTATAGATATAACTATTAATATCATCATAAGAAAAATAACTAAATTTTATGGAACATGGAACCGGTATTTTCCCTTCTCTCTTTCCGCCATGGCTGAATGAGTGCAGTTGTGTGAGTGTGCATGTGTCCGTGTGTCCGCGTCTGAGCGTCCCTGCCTACTGACGTCACAGAGTTCCTCGGCGTCTCCCGGATTCTGCAGAAAGAGTACATAAAGTCTCCCGTACACATGGAGCCATCAACAGTTTATGCGTGCTCGTTAGTGAGCAAGTATATCTTTACGTGGAGAATAACGTGTGATAGTGCTGAGGAATAGAAAAGAAAGTGTTGGGTTAGTAACATCGAATAAATTGCAATGCGGAATCAGAAATGCATTTGCAAAGTGTTTGATTGATTTTCCATAAATGATGTCTAATTGTGGGACTTCCTTTTTTTGCAGTTCACCACTCAGGCAACATGACTACATGGATCGGGTCGGCAGTGCTGGGGGCGCTCAGAGCCGTGTCCGTCGAGCCCGTGATGCTGGTGGACGGGGCGTGCAATCAGGCGATGCTTCTCTTCATTGAGAACGTTCAGATGAACAAAATTTGTTCTATCAACCTTGGCCTCCCTGATCAGGTAACTGCCATTCATTTTGAGAAACATGTATGCTGTGTTTCTGAGTCCATACTAATTGTAGTCGAAATAATAGTTCACAGCATCGAAACCGTTCCCTAACCCCTTTGCTGTTCAGGTGTGCAACAACTTGTCTGAACATCCCGAGGAAGACGTTCTAGTTCAGAGAGAGTTCAGCGTGTTCGCCTTCTACAACAGCATCATCATGTCTATCATTCCCCTCATCTTCGTGCTCTTTATGGGAGCTTGGAGTGATAAATACGGAAGGAAGGTCAGTGCAAAATCCTTTTGCTCAATCTTTTGTTGTGATTTTGATCTATGCTTTTTAAGATGTATGTGTGTATATATGTATTTTTTCAAGATACCTTTTCACTCACGCATACTAAAATTGACATTATATTTCTTCTTTAAGTTTACAGCATTTGGTTTGTAATTTGGAAATGCAA